TCCGGGGAAGTAACCCAAAAATGGAAAGGACCAACCAAAACAGGAGCCAAAAGGGACTTCACACGATATAACAAACACTCTCATAATCAAATGTTTCTTTTAACCAAGAAGGGCAACCTACTGCGACAAATTATATCATATCAGTTATGAACTTATGAAGAGGTAAACGAACAAAATTAATAAGAGAAGCAAATGCTATAAGCAGGCGCGTGGAAAAGTATCACAATGAAGTCAGAAAGCTGAGAATGTGTGTAGAACTAGAGAACTGGTATGGACAACAACATATAATGGACAATAGAACATATGTATGTAGAACCAAGACCATATTAACAGTCAATAGAGAGAATCAGTACCAAGAGTATTAACAGGACTTTTCAGTCAACCCACAATCAAGTTTATCATCAGAATTAATAATTTTCTCAAGTCTATCATCAGAATTAACACTTTTCTCGAACTTCAGCAGGATCCTGCACATTTTCATTAAAACATAATCACAATCAGCTGGTATTCTTTGTCTTGAAACTGACAGAATGAGCATTTTAAGCTACTGAAATTCTCTTGTGCATCCATCTTACCTTCTACATTCAAGATCTCATTTAACGATAAAGGTTCTTGATCTGGATCAGTCTTCGCTTACTCTCTCTTTTGTTTGAATAGTTCCAAGCTTCTCTCCAACCAAGCGACCTCCACTCCCTCATTTCTAAGTTGTGACAGTGTATTTTTTATGTCCCAAATATTTTCATCGGTGATCTCTCGAGGCAACTTTCGAAGTCTGGGGATCGTGGAATCAATGAGAGCCATGCATATCGTACTGGTTACTAGGTTCTGTTCAGTGACAATCCTAGCAATCTGTGGTTGTGTCAGTAGCCTAGTTTGCAAAGTTGCCTGCAAGTGAATAAGGTCTTATTTAACCACCCCTTGTCCCAAAATCCAGAAAAATATGCAACTGATAAGAAAATTTCTAAAAAGTTCTTACAGGTTCCATCTCGTCGACATCTACTCTAGCAATGATCGTGAGGGCACCTTGCACCAGAGACAAATGAAGGTCTTCATGGTGCAAGACCCTTGCTATTCCCCAAATGTAAGAGTCTTCAGAAAAACAAACTTCTCGCACCCAGACATTTCAGATCAGATCGATTAGTTGCACTTATAACTTATAAAAAGCTTTAAAGTAGAATTGACTACCTTGGTTTGTGTTGACATTTCCTTCTGAAGAATTTCCTTGAGTGCCAATGGAAATCTTCCCTTGTATCTTCCACGCACGAAGATTTTTTTTATAATCAGAAGGATAGATACGCATTTCTTCTCCGCGGGAGTTTTTCCACTAGGATACACAATTATTTTCCTGAAATCCCAAAAAACTCAAAAGCTTAGGGGAACGAACCCCAAAAGGTTCGAATAAAACATCGAATCTTGAAAACTTCTTCTTCTCTTTACCATTTGAATCCACCAGATTCGAATTCAGGGGAATAGATTTTTCGTTTTCCCAAAGAAGACTTGAAATTCCCCAACAGAAACTTCTGATTCTCGATCATCATACAAGTGCTCCAAACCCTAGGCGAAAATGTTAGGATCTTAAACTTGAATCTAGGCTTAGACAA